GTATATATATATAGTTGAACATTGTTGAACATGCAACCTGTGGATTTTTGTTGCAACTCACATCAACTAGCTGCCTAGATCTTCTGATATGATTATTGTGTTGCCCCTTATATGGTCCTTGAAGTCCAGGATGGTACCGTTGATGGGCTTGCACTACAGGTGAGGTGGACGTTGGAATTGCAAAGGGGAGACTTGTGGTGAGGAGGTTGGCTCCAACTCGCTTTGAGGCGTGTGTGTGTGTGTTGATGTGTTGATGGTCTTCCAGGTCTTGCCTGAATCAAACTCAATCAAACTGGGGTCTTCCTCATATTCAGTGACGCCTCCTACTGCAAAGTGACATTCACACTGACTCCCTCAGTTCACCCTGACTCCTTCAGTTTCCATGTATAAAAAACAGGTGAACCTTTTTCCACATGTTCTTCACCAATCCCCAAAAAGCTGGGGCAGGTGGTGCATTGAATTATAATTAGACCATATGACGGCGGACTCTCTCATCGATGAGCTGACGTCGAGCCAGGTTGCGAAGCTCTGCTCTTGACAAAGCACTACTTGATGCAGAATGTTGATTAACAACCCACCATATGAAAATAAATTTAGAATCCAAATCAGGTCCGTATTAATCATGGTTAGTCAACATGCTAAGATTCGAATACACCTGACATGTTCGCCTGTCACCTCAAACAGTGTTTCCAAATGCTGTTGGACATCTTTCAGAAGGTCCCGGACATGTATGGAGCTCTGAGAGTGACATCTTTCGGAGGCCTGCATGTTGGCTTATATAGAAGTATCACATTTTAGAAACTGATAGACTTATTCAGATATATTCAGATAGGCCCCATTGGCATTCCAAGCTTCAATATTCTTCAAACATTCTTTTGCCCCCACACACACACTTCTTTGGGTTCCCACCTTGCTCTCCCCGCCCCCCCAAAACAACACTTCCGCGATTCCGTGACGCAGGCCGCATGCGCGGCAAAAGGGTACTGCGTGCACCTGGAGGAAGATGGGCTGAAGAAGCCGTTCCACCTGACTTTTTTCGGCGAGTGCGGCGAGTTCGCCGCTGCGGCCAGCGATGGCCAGCGGCCAAAAGGGTGGAACTGGGAAGAGTTCGACTGCTGGATGATCTTATTGCATTGCATCTTTCGGAAGCAAATGCACAAACGCCGGGTGTAATGTATGCCCCACTTGTGGGCACAAAAAGGAGTGAAGTGTTTATTTTAAGAGTTTGGGGGATTCTGAGATTCTATCGTCATTCAGCTGCAGGGACGATTAGGCATTAGGCCATCCATTGTCAGCTCGGGTAGGCTCTCAGGCTCTCATACAATGGAGTAAGTATTGAAGGAGGAGATCTCAATGACTAGTTTCACACGGCAAATCCTTGCGAACAAGTTCCAGCTTTCTTGTTGCAAGTGTGCTCCAATCTGTGCATCCCAAGTGGGTCTCATCACAAATGCTTCAGTCTGTGGCTCTCATCACTCGCTTCAGTCTGTGGGCCATTCCGATCTGGTGTGCACGTCTCACGCGTTTATCCCATCCCCGCGCCAGGACGGGCCCCAAAGAATCATCCGCCAGGAAGACCTCAGAGTGGTGTCGAGGTTTTAAGCGGACTGGTGAGCATGTGAACTAGCTGCTTTAGTCAGTAGGTCTAGTTGTGCAGTTGGTTTTTGGACCGAACTATTAACACACCTTCTGAGGGACCAGTGACCAGGGTCCAAGTTGGTTGGGTCTATAGTTGGTTGGGCCCGGTTGGCCCTCCGATTGGCCCTTGGGCACCAACCACTGGTATCTAGCTCGCGGCCCCGACTCTCTGAGTGCAGAGGGGTGTTGGGAGGGTGTTGGTGAATGCTGGTGACCAGTGGTGAAAAAAACATGCTGAGATGGAACGCATCAGCTAACATCCGCAGGTTTGCGGATGTTAGAATCCAACCATGGTGATAAACTGAATGAACGACAGTTGTCCGACAGTTGCTCCCCTGAGGATTCTTCGCGCGCTCCATTCTCAGATGTCAGCTGACGTCGGCCATGCGGGCCTTCTCCCACCAGCATGATGCCCACCATAGGCGTTCCCCCCCCACGACTTGCACTGCCTTGGGTTGAGCGACATCACTCAGCAGTGTCACTTCCCCCACCACCGCCACCACCACCAACAGCAACAACAACAACCGCAACCGCAGTCACAACTACAACCACAACCCCCACGGAGCAAGACTGAGCACTGCAATACTACAACAAACACTGCCTTACATTCAACCATCCCAGCAAATCCTGCTATGATAGCAGTTCACCGGTGATATCTCACCGTCTCGTGTGATGTTTCACCGGTGTATATAACTGTATAACCAGCTTGGTGTCTCATAACCAGCTGGTACAGGCGCAAGCCAAAGCAGGTGTGTTTTCAGTTGGGTGGGAGAGGGAAGACGCGCTCCCATCCCCAATGTGATTACGAGAGCTTATGTGTAACAAGTGATTGAGGAAACGCCCAGTTTTTCCTGCAAACCACATCTGGCCAAGTTTCAAACTTTGGGCGCCCAAACCCTTTTCAACCAATGTGGCTCCACTTCTTCGGCCAGTTGTACCAACCGCGTCGTATGCAATAAATTGGGGCGCACAAAGGGGCACGCTCGCAACCAAAGCGCCCTTCATGCTTGTCAAGGAGCAGTGCCCGGGTTGAAGCGCACACAGCTTTGACCAATCTGGGGCTGGAGTTGGGTAAGGGATGAACCCTAGTCTCTTTCCACTGCACCTCCTTCGCAGAAACCTGTTGAAGTCCTCTACCATTTGTTCGAATCCGTCGATATTTCTTCGGTTGGGTGACCCACCAAGCTCCAACACCCCATGAGACTGGCAGTCCTAACTCCCCATCAGATTGGGGTGGTTGTTTCAAGGATCAAGGTAGGCGTAGATTATCAGTCCCATGGAGTTTTGAGGTAGTGGTTAGCTCCCTGACATCAATCATGGTTTAGTGGAGTGAGTGAAAACCACCCGAACGGATCGAATCGGATTTCATGGTCTCCTCCGAACGGATGTTTAAGGGGCCGAAGGTTCCATCCACGTAACCACCAGATGAGAACAATCCGGGAGTGTATACTTTTAGTGTCTTACCCAAACGCTCAGTTCACAGCCCTACTTCCGGTCCCTCAAAACCGATTGGTTCGACCCCAGGCCCGATTCGGGTCCGACCCCTCCCTGCAGGGTCCAGGGTCGCGTCTGGGTAGGGGTTCAGCGCCTGGATCTCCGCCACGAGGAAGGCCACAACGCCTTGAGAGCTCACAGCTGCCTTGGGGCAACTCCACCTTGCGGGTCTTTGGTGGGCGAACAGCGCAGTGAATCGGCCAGGCTGTTCTCTACTCCGTCGAATACAAACAAAATTAAAGCGATGGCGATGGCCTCCAACCTACTGGCTATTTGGACTTTCCACCCACCCGAATACCACCTCCGAAATGAAGGTACTTGGCCCCAGTACAAGTGAAACAAATGACCAGGATCGTAATTTCCAGCAGCAACTTCCCTAATTAAAGGATTCTACTGGAGCCAAGCTGAAGGGCATGACACGTCGGCCAATGAGGCCCTTCAAGGCCTCTCACCCGATGAAGCCAGCTCAGGTGTGTCAGCCGGGTCATCTAAAGGGCACACCAAATCCCGTAAAAAATGAAACAGCAATGGAATTTGGTGTGTTCAAACAGGTTTGGTGCTTTAGAATAATGGAGGCAAGTGAATGAAGTGTTCATGTTCAAAACAGTTGTGCACGGGTTGGTATACACGTACTGTATATATGTCAACGAAGTAAGAAAATCAAATAACATTGTCAGGCCTTATGCCCTTGGAAGCTACAAGATTATATTTATATATGCATTTGTGCTTATGCATATGTTCCAGGACGCGTCCTCGGAAATATGATTACCAGGACTTACATCATGAGTTAGTTAAGCTTCTCAAGCTTCGAATTGCAAACAGTCATGCGCAAAGCACTGTTTGGGATATATAAATCCGTTTCCCAACCGTTACAGTAACTGTTCACCATCTTCATCCATCCTGGAGGCAACCTGCCGAACAAACGGGCTCGTAACGAAGAGAATGGCCCACCCCGGGCCATAAAGCGCATCGGGGAAAAATCTCAGGCTCCGGGCCAGGCGGAAGCCTTCACCGCGGCACGTGCCTGGCGAAGTGATTCCTCTGACCTCTTTGGGTCGGTGCCGGGGGGCGCCAACAAAAGGCGCTGCCGTCAAGTTGTATCACTTGGAAGCACCAGGAAGTTAGTGTTTAGCTTTATGGGCTGGCAGTAAGAATCATATCTGTGGACTTCAGGCTTGCTGTTGCCATATGAATGCCAAACTCTGAAAACTGAAACGCACCTCTTCAGGCCAACTTTTCCTCTGTCCTCTCCGTGCGTGTGCTTCACGCTGCAGCCATACTGTTTGCTGCGAGAATGGGGGGTGATACACAGCAGTGAGACCGAGACCAACTTAAGCGACCAACGATCGGGACTCAAGGCGATTCTCCACAAGGCTATCTAAAGCTTGTTCCACCACACCCAAGGAACATCAAAGAATGCATAGTAATTATTTACCTCCAAATAGAAAGTGAGTAGGAAACAAACCCTTTCAAATGTGTAGTGGATGTTGCTGCCTTTATATGTTGAGACCTCTACAGCCCTGAAGATAGAGATGGGAGTGTCTGTGAACAAGAACTCTTGAATCACACTCGAGACTCGCCGATGGGCCCGGTTTGCAGACCCATCCTTTGCATAGGATGACTTGCAACCTCCTACTAGCAAGGCAACCATGGAACATCCTCACAAAACACGAAGAAGAAAGGATAAGAAAGGCATCGCAACATACAAAACACACCAGAACCCTGTGTGAGGGTGTAACCATCACCTCTGATATGGTTGGATGGCCCTGGTTTATGGCCTCATCACCCGGCCTTTTCTCAGAAAAGGCACGGACGAAAGCTTGGACGAGCATGCTTTGTTCTCGTCCTCGGAATAGGTCTCTGTCGTCTCATGCTTCAGAGTTGATGAGGATGTTTCTCTTGCCTTGCTGCAGTGAAAACCAAAGAGCAGAACCATCCCGCTCACGGACTCTCCACATTCCCTCCGTGCGTTCGAAATCTGTTTGGGATTGGAAAACATCAAACATCCCAAACCTCTCCAAGTAACCAAGCTTCTCAATGTCTTTCTCCAGCTGTGACAACTCGGCTTCATGCTTTTCCTTGCGCTTCAACTTGCCCATCGTGTCCAAGGTTGTCACATGAGTACCGCCTTGATAGGCAGTATTCACCTCGAGGCCAGGAACGTCTGGGAGTCTTGCACCAGAAATCCACGCTGAATCCTTCTAAAAAGGACTCCTACCAACCACAGAAACTTTCATTAGAACTCAAACCAGCTTGTTTCTTGCCTATTTCTTTCGGCACCCCCCACCTGTTCCCACTTCGATTTCAAGCCTTCCAGCACCTCTTGCTGCTCATCTTCTCTCATGGGACGCACTCTTTCCGCCTCTTCGGCTGCCCTCTGCTCTTGCAAAGCTCTGATATACCTCAGCCGGCCCCGAGAAAGGCCCGACCACCAGCAAGGAGGCTTGCTTTCTTGCTGGTGCTGGACTCGGCTGTCTCCAAAAAGATCTGCGCACGCCCAGTTGGACTAAGGGTGCGTATTCCACTGAGTCTGCAAAAACGAGGGTCTGCCGCGAAAAAGGGGGGCGAAGTCTACATGTGCAATTCGAGCACTAATCGGAAATGAAATGAATCTTTTGTCCTCCGAAAACGGGCTCTTAATCTATTCATGTTTGTTCTTCCGGTTGCACAAGTGGCCACCAAATATCATCGAACATCCCGACACATGTTCAACCGGATTTGAGTTACCTAGCTATTGCGGGCTAAAGAGGATCTCAATACAATTTCAAGGGGGCTTGACTTGTTCATTCGGGTTTCACGTAAGTTGCTTGTGATCAAAGGCTGCACCTACCGAATCCAGAAGGTGTAGCCTCGTCAAGCCTCATCACTTATCCATGTCAAATCACTGTCCATGCAAACTAGGAAAACTGACAAAGCATCAGCTGCAGCCCCAAAGACTGGTACTCCCTCTCAATGTCTTGCTTGATGTGTTGCAAGTACTTTGGCACCTTTCCGTAGTCCTCCTCTCATTGGCAGTTCTGAGCGCTTCTTTGCAAGTGGTCAAAGCACTTGCTGATGCAGTAGGTTAGAAGTTCAATGAAGTTCAGATTCAGCTACAGATTTGGAACTTGTATAAACTCGTAGAACTATCCCAACAAAGGGTCAGCTTCGGCACGCAATCGCAACCCTCGCGGTTGATACCCTGCACATGAAGTAGAAAACCATGATAAATCCCCATGATCACCGCCAGCAGTCTTCTCCACCCCCCCCCCCGCCGCAGTGGGTCCACAGGAAGCGGTGCGCTTGAGGTACACACCCCCACCGGGTACGCGGTACGCGCGGGAGAGCAGGGGCCGATGAAGGTCCTTCTTCAAGTAGTCCTTGGTACCTTCGGGAACCTTTTTGGGTGCCGCCAGGATCACCTCCACCGCATTGGCCACGATGAAGTTCTTGCTGGTGACCTGGTATACGATGGCAATCGAGACCCTCGGTGAGAACAAATCCCTGATGCGTTTGGCTACATCGCACCGATTTCGATGCTGATCTCTCAGTTCGGGTCAGCTCGCAAGCTTCCAGTAGCATATAATTAATTATATAGTTCAATCAATTAATTATGAGTTTGTCACCTGCGGTCGACATTTGTTCATCGGCAATTCCTCAAACAAGTAGAACTCTGAATCCCCCAAAGCGGCGCTCCCAGAAGAATTTCTGGGCGAATCCATCTCCCTTGCTGGTTGGTTGGTAAGGACCTCTACTACTGGCAACATGTGTCCAACTGCTACGCTGCGAAAATAGGCCCAAAAAAGCATCGAAGATCTATAATATATATTTATTCAAGGGACCATCTAAACCCATGGCCATCTGATTGCCATTGGGTGTACCCCAAAGAAGGCAAATAAACAAACCGATCGTTTCTTTTAAATGGTTGACACTATGGTTGACCCAGTTTTGCCTAAAACATGATAAACACCGTATTTTCCACACAATATATGGCTACTAGCTTGGAACCGGTCGCCAATTTTCCGCCCAAGCTACGAGATTCATCACAGGCTTGTCCGAGGTGGCTGGTGGCCCATGTCTGGTCTGCGGCTTCAATTGCTGTGGGACCAAGGCTTCCGGATGGTCCCTCTTCATCTCTTTGAGAGTCAAGACCTGCACAGTCCGCAGCGCTTGAGGTCCGGTCGGGAGGTCGCCTGGTCAGGTCAGGGCCCATCTTGTTCTTTGGGGGTGCGTAAGGGTCTGACTAGTTGCCCCAAGTCTATGAAGTTCTTTCTTTTGGTCGGTCCCCAAATATATTGTCTGGACTTCGGTATGCTTGAAGCTCGAAGCTTTTGCCAACCAAGTTTGGGCACCAAACAACAAACAAAGTACTCGTTCGGGGGCACGCGCACACCATATTGACTACAACCTGATCTTTAAAGCCATACCCTTCTAAAACATAGCCAATGATTCATGGTGCTTTTGTCCAAATCAGTCTTTGGGATTCATGCCAGTTTTGCGCGAATAAAAGGACCCAAAATGTCCGGCTGTGTTGGTGAAGGTCACCCCGAAAAAGCCCCTAAAGACCTTGGGGATCTCCATTGGACACCCCTTGAAGGCCCAGGTATGTAGTTTGGATCGGGCATTATCAGGGCACGTCCATGATCATCAGCAAATATCAGCAGAACCCTCAGCAGTACAACTTGTGACCTCCCCCCTTTTGTGCTACACATCCAATGGCTCGCAGTGTTGGACTCCTTCATGGCACAAGCGTGGCCCCGGCATGGCCCTTCTGTCAAGCGGTGTGCTTCTTTCAGTCTTTCAGTGCAGATTCAGCTTCATCAAAAAGGTTCTTGATGGATCTCGTAGAACTTCATTGACACCACAAAGGCAGTAATGACACCGATCCTGGCCTTGCCACCGGAATGTTCCTGCTTCTTCAAGAAGCTTGCAGGATCATCGGTATAAGATCCTGGGTCAACAGTGTCGTGAAGGAACTGGTGCCAATGGATGTACAGTTGCCGCATTCAATATCACTATGCTGAAATTGACAAAGAAGACAGAACACAACAACACAAATCTGCTTCCTTCAGACTGACGTCCTTTTCCCACTGGATTTGTCCTTTCCATTTTCAGGTTTCAACCACAGCAGGGTACCAAGCAAAGCAAACAGCAAGAGATCACAGTTGTGTACCGTGTGCTTCACCACAACGGCCCACCACCTTCAGCTCAGAGAACCTATCCACGCGTACACCAAGGAAATTCCCAAAAGAGGGGAATCCTTTCAGGGACTGTGACATGGCCCTGAGCATAGGCCACGAATACACTCCCCGGAACTAGCACGGAAGTGGATGGCATGGCCCCCCCCAAAAAAGATTGTCCTCTGGAAACTAAACAAGTGCCCATCCACTTCCATGATTATTTCAAGGGGTGTATGCCTTCCATATGGCCTGTAGTCAGCCCCTGCCACCACATGCGACTGTAGCAATCACCAGCTTAATATACTGGATGTAATCCACGGAGTCTGTAACTTCCCAGCCAAGGATGACTGAATAGGTCGAGACTCCCTTCGGCTTGCCGAACGTCGAGTGTGACCTGCAGTGGTTTGTCAAATACCTGGACCAAAGAATGGCTACCAGCACTTTTTTTCTGCCTGCCAAGTCCATGCATTGGTTATTAACAAAAGCAAAGTAAACTCGAGACAAATCAATGTTCATATCAATAGCGGAAGGTTCAGAAATCCAAGGTCCACAAAAACCACACACACAAATAAAAAGAGCGTGCAAAAGGAACGCACAAACCAGCTGGGTGACTTATCTGCCACGGGCTTCTGCTCCAAATAGCCTCCCACATTGGCCACAGCTGGACATGTTGTGCCGCCCGTCGGAAAGGTCGTGGCCGTCGGTGGGAGCTGGGAAGCGTGCTGCGACTTGTACATGGGCGGTCGCTCCTGGCCCAGGTGACCGGCCAGGGCTTCGTGCTGTGATGTTGCAGTAGAGTTCTTATATGTGATAAACCCGAGCCCGTACACTCTAAACTCTAGTTTTGGGGGGTCTCTACATAAATAAATAGATATATTATATACAAAATATATATTGTTTGCATAGATCAGATCATGGCCTCTGCGAACAAAAAACATATGGAGTTTCAGTGGCTGTGGTCTCCAGTGGCCATGGTGATTCAATGTTGTCTCACACTCCCCGAAATAATCATGGAAGTGAAAAAAAAACCTGTTTGGAATTGGGAACATATTCATCCAAGGGGGCCATGCCATCCACTTTCATGATTATTTCACGGAGTGTATCCTGTCTTATGCGTTGGGGAGTTCTACAATACATCTAATCATGGTGGTCCAATAGGATATATGATTAAGTTGGTGATTTTTTCTTGTGCGATGTAGATAGTGACATGGTGGTGAATTGCACGGTGTACTGTTGTCATCATATACAAGTTGTACCAATTTGTCATCCAATTCGTTTGCTTCAACGGACAGCGTCGTGCATGATTCAACTGTCAACTCTTTCTGGCCAAGACTGTCATCGTCGGTACTTTAGGAAAATATCCAACCATGTGTTCCTTATGTTCACCACCCCCACTGGTGGAGCTCCATACTGGAGCCCTGGAAGGAGACCCGTGCGCCATCCGGATGGACGTGCGCCCATCCACCCCTCCTGCAGCAGCTGCTTGGGCGGAATCAGGTTGTAAATCGACTCTCCGTGCATCATGACCGTGGCCATTGAGGTGAGTGCCGGTCGCGCGGATGGGTCGAAGCAAGCGGAGGGGATGGGCCAACGTCGCTCCCAGTGGTGCAGTGCCGCTTGATCCGAAGCACATGCAAAAAGAAACGATCCAGGGACGGTTGATTCAAGCCTCACACTGTGGAGAACGACATTTGCTAGGCTGCGGCAACCACTTGTGCATGGTATTTGCTGGGAATCAAGCGGTTCCTTGCTTGTTTGCTCTTCCCTGACGCTGAATATCTTGAGGGTCTAAACATATCTAAACACAGCCCTCCTAACACTACCCAGTGGTTCACTTTCCCACTTTACCATCGGTTCACAAATCCGTGATGCCCTTGTCATGGTCCACAAATCCGCTGAAGAACACTCCAAATCAACATGACGTCTTTCAGTCTTTCCATGTGACCGTCCGTGGACACCGGACCAGCTCGGTCCCTGCCCATCGTTCGTGGTGTGCATGCGGCGTTCGTGGTGTCCGAACAGGTCTGTGCAACTCGAGTCGCTGGCACCCGGAGCCTCCAAAGTACTCTTAGAACATGAATGTGACATGACCCTATATCAAAAAACAAGTACCTGGATCAGCCTGGATCTTCCAACTGTGCCAAAGTCTCCAACCTTTTCATCGACACCAGCCCCAAAAGGCTGGAAAAAGCAAACACAGGTTGCATTCGTTTTATGACTTATATATTATATATACTTGAATATAAAATCCAGATACTTGGTACCCCCTGTCCCAGCTACTGACCAAGGCTCCTCGGCTCCCCGTCCGGCCTCGCCCATCCAGGCTGCGTCCCCTCGGCTCGCGAGCGCACCGGCGGCTGCCAGCGCATCTGGCTGATGCGACGGGACGAAGACGGATCGAGTGCTCTGCAGTTTCAGGTGCGAATGGATTTAGGGCATCCCGGTTCTGATATTTATTACTATATAGTATTACTATATATATATTACTATATAATATTTATATAACAACATTTTTCCGTTCTTGATTTGGCATCCAAAGTTGGTAGATTTTAGTATGAACTCCTGTTCCTCAACCTATTCTGTCAACCTGAAGCATGAATCAAAATTCATCATCATAATAAGAAACAATACAAGAATGGTTCACCCTGCTGCCGCCAGGAATGATGTCTAAGTTTGTCAATTTATCATGTCGCTTCCAGGTACTCTCTGAGTCTCTTCCCCAGTGTTCCCGGAGGTTTTACAGAACAAACCTTCTGTAAGCGCTGATCGCCGGGGCAATGGCCGCTCAGTCTTCCCTGGTCCAACGTGGACAGCCTGTCAGAAACACGGGGCCCATGTGCGGAAGCTGAAGATCTTCAACCTCGGGTCGGCCATTCGGTGTTGCGCTCTGCAGAGGCCCGGGTGTCGAGACCAGGTTTGGCAGGTTTGGTGTAGATGAAGATGAAAGGAAAGGAGGATCTGGACACAGCTACGCACATTCACCATCATTCACCCACTATCACCATCACCCACTTTAACAAAACAAATTCTATGTTCCATATTGGATGCCCGTTTGTTGGAAGTCGCTCGTAGGTTGGAGGCCTGGATGCCGTTTGTTGGTCAACGCCGAGGGTGTGCCGAGACTGCGTGTCTTCTAGGAAACCCGCACCAGAATTCGGGGCGAAGGCCGGTTTCACCGTGTCTCGGCATCGGCGTGCAGCTGTGCCACCAAATGGTTGGCTCCCAGGCCACCGCTTTTCACACCCAAAGCCTCCCGTCTGGTGGGATTGGGGTGTTGCTTCCGCGGAATGTGCTTGGAGCCTCCACCCACCGGGACAGCTCTCCCCAGAAAGGTTTGACCAGAGCTGGTGTGTCACGCGCCCGCGCGATGAGTTCGACCAAGGCACCCAGTCCTGCATCGCCTGCAGGACTTGGGCCTCACAGGCCTGCTCTGCATGACCTTGGCATCTTGGATGATCTCTATCTTGGGTGCATCTGGTCCAGGAGTGGGCCATGTTCCATCATGTTCTGTCTCTACATCAACGACCCTCCACATCAACTACATGGTCGTCTGTGAGTTCACCGGGCTTTTCAACATGTTCAAGTTCACTCGTTTCAAGTGCATCAAGTTTGAAATCCTTTATTTAAAAAAGGAAAAACGATGCCAATACGACATGGGCACACTGAACCAGCACCACCGAACTTTGGGTGGATCCTTTCACCTGACGATGACGATCTATATCTATATTTACTGTATAATTGTAAATCTATATTTTTCGCATTTTTTCGCCATCTTATCGCCATTCATCACCACCGGGTGGTGAGTGATGATGGAACAACGTCCCACCTCCTCGGGAACTGGCCGACCAGGAGGACCAGGAACGACACGTTCACCCTGACTCCCAAGCTGGAGGATCCATGAAATATCCACGTTCACCCTGATTTTTGTGGGGTGGGGGTTGAAAGAGAATCAGAAAGATGGCGACTTCAAGCAAGTATCCACCAAAAACATACAAAAACTAGGGCAATCTTGTGCACTATTCCCTGTTTAGGTGGTTGTGTAGGTGCTCGTCCGCTCGCGGACGCCTTCTGGGAGTCCAGGCGTAGAGCCTCCAAGTGGCGCAAAGCTGGTCGAAGGACCAAGGCCTCAAAGGGTGCCTCGGGCAGGACGCGTCCGTCCCGAGCCTGATGGGTGTCGGCATGCTGTGAGCTGATGATGGATGGAGGATGACAAGGAGTGGGATTAATGAGAAGGAAGGGATGGGAGGAGATAGGAGGAGGAGCACAGTTCATAATTTAGGAATCAACTTCAAATCCTGAGCCCAGCTAAGAACTGTTTGGCATTAGAACAGTTCTCATGCTCATGCTAACACTCCTTCCGCGTTGGAAAGGGGCCCAAAAGTTACTGAGTACGCAACCCTGATCTTCGCAGAAACAGAATCTGAAGCTACCCCAATGGCCCCAACCACTCCCGGGCCTGGTGTAACCCCTACTGACTCCGAGGCCCCAAGGCATTTCCCTCAAAGGTTTTTTACCAGGACCAGGACCTTCCAACACGTGGTTTTTGGACACCCCTTACCCTCTAGGGGGCTGTTTATACCATTGTATACCCCTCTTGGAGGGCGGATGAGGGCGGTATGTTAACCATGGTTCACCTTTTCCACCTGTTCGTGTTAGGAACCAAACCCCCCAAATGCTTGGGCAGGTGATCCAGGGTGGGAGGACTCTGCACTTCGGTCGGGCGCACCGCACACCGTCTCTTTCGCACACAGCGCGGTGTGAGAGTTTGGGATCGGGCGCCACCCGCTCTTCCGGCTGGCTCTCAGCATGGTGTGGAAGGGTTTATTGTTATTGGATAACTATTGGATAACTATGTGGATTCCAAGCTTGAAGTGGCTTCCATTGCACACGACCCTCTTTCATGGCCATGTCTGGAGACATCTTGGCTTCTTTCATGGCGTGATCTCACCAGCTCCCATTCCAGAACATCTGGGTATAAATTTTGCCAGCAGGCTTTCTGCGACATGCAGAGAAAACCCTTTGCTTTGGAATGTCATCCTTTGATTTTCCAGAACAAGTGCTTGAAAAAAACAAAAACAACATAATATAGGGATACATGCAACAAAACCACTGACTATGGAAGATCATGGAAAACATAAAACAACCCATGGAAAAAGAACTGCATGGACCAAAAAAACGATGTTCCTCTAATTTTGAGATGGAATCTTGCTCTTGACTTTCGGATTTGGGTGACTCGTTCTGCACTGGAGCCAAGAGCATCTTGGAGTTCACTGTTTGGACGCCAGTGTGAACATGGCCCAAGCAGGCACTGAATCCTTCGGTTCTTGGCCATCAAAAACCACGAGAAAGCACTCTGTCAAGTCCCTTCTATAGTGAGCCGCATTCTGAATCTACGTGGGGACGTTTTGGAGTTCCCCAGCTGATGCTGAAGGTGCACCTGGAAAGGAAGATACCACCACTCACTGCGTAGAAAATAACTTCCCGTAGGTCAAGGTCTTAAAGATCTTAAAGTGTGAGGTCCAGAGTCTTATGTGTGAGAATACCCTCTGTCTGCCTGCCGCTGCAACTGGCTAAGCATTTCCTTCGCCAAATGGTTTTCAACCGCTTGGCACTTCTTCGCGCCAGCTCCGGAAGCCCGCTCACTTCTCGGGGTACACCGGCTCTCCGGTCTCCGGATCTCGCTTGATGTTCATCCCTGAGAGCGCTTGATGTACGGTAGCCGTGTGTTCTCACTGCCGATCAAGTACAGTCGCCCATATATAGATGGATGATGATGGATGCACATCTCGTGTGCATCCGTTTTCTGCGCATGGGAGGACCCTGGTGTTGAACTCAGCTTGCCTGCTGCCTACCTTTCGTGTCTTTTTCGTCCCTCTGTTCATGTCTTTTACCGATCCTCGCCCGACCCAGCTGGGCGCCTTTGTATGGATCGAAGTCTGGGTTGAAATAATCATCTGCCGTCGTGGGCGGCTTCCTCGGCCGGACGGTCGCGGTCGCGGAGGTGTTCAAACAATCACATCATTTTCCGTGAACGATGGGTGAGTGGGGCATTCTGTAGAGAAAGGATGTCTGTAAAATGGGTGGCACAAATATCACAACATCATCAACACATATAGCATCTCAATGCATACAGTTTTTGTTGCATCAACCATCTGGACGGGACAGTCTTGGATAAGTGAGTCACATCCAAGCATGTCCCAGCATGTCCATTCCTTGGCCACTCGCCTGGCATTCTTTATTAGAAGATGAAGATGCTAAGATGCTCCAACAATGAAACAACCTGTAGCTGGACGTTCAGATTGCGAACTGCAAGTGGTCACGGCAGAAGAGACCTCACAGTGGCTTTGGGGTTGATCTGCCGAGACTTGAAACGCGCCATGAGGCCATGAGCCATATTCACATGCCCAGGGCTCTCTGTGGTCTAATGCCACTCCGACTCCCTACAAGGTTAAGGGATGTCCATGAGCCACCCGTTGTGGGCCTTGTTGAAGGCTTCTTTTCACCTAAGAAAGGCGTAAGCTGCCACGAGCCGAATCGGAACCCCCCCCTCGACCGCGCAAGTCGCGTCGTCCTGTCAACCACGTGTCTCTCCCAGGCCACCGCCGAAGGTGTCTTGCCAGGACTGCCAGACCTAGAAATGGCCCGAGCTTTGTGGGAACTTGTTTTAAAAGCAACTCGATGGCCAAAAAACTCCAGCCTGACACATGTTTCATAAGCTCTCATAGTCCCAAAAATGAAACCACATACCTTCTGAAAAGGCGTTTGAGGGCCCAACCAACCTCCCAGGCGCCTGGTTCCCTGAGAGCTTTGTAAAGGCATAGGGGCACAAAGGGTGAAGCTAAGAACTGCACCCAAAGTAAGAGTGAGCAACCAAAGTAAAGCAACCCGCGATAAGCACTGAAACGAAGCTGCCGAGCAAAGGCCGGCAGTCCTACATTACTTATTACATCGCCAATCTATATGCGAATGCATCCATATGCAAGCAATACTTTCAAACAACCCACTCCCCTACGCAAAACCATGCATATGGGCGCCCCAGCTTCAAGCTTAAAAAGAACGGCCTCCATTTGTGTCTATCAGAGTCTATCACTTCTAGTGATCTCCGCCCCTTGCCCACTCTCCCAGAAAAGCTAGGAGGAAACAAATCCTACTCAAACAGAACACCACAAGTCGACTAAAGCCTTATCACTTCCGCACTGTTGCTTCCACTGCCGCACCCCCGTGCCGCGACCGTGCTTCCCCCACCGTGACCGCGAAGAAGATCGATCCAACAGTGGCAAACACATAGTAGGGGGCATCCCCTTGATATTCACCTCATCAGCGAGAAATGGGGCACATGTGAGCTGCGAGACATCGGCATCAGGTGACAAACCAACACCACTGGCGTTCTTTGCAGCCGATGCGACCGCCGTGTTGATCCAAACATTCTAGCTGTTTGTGCACACTTCCACCGTCGCAAGCTCTAGTACAGCGACGTAAAGGCGAGAGGGAGAAAACGAGTGCAACAAAGCCAACCATACTGGAGTTGGAGCAAAGAAAAACCCGGTTCTGGTGGTGGCAGGGGTCGCATCAACCGCCGGAGCCCAAGCTGGGCACGTGGCTGGCCATCGGCCCCCCCCAAGCGGTCGGATGGCCTCCCGTCCCGGACATCAAGGCGATCGTCGATCCGGCTCACAAGCCCAGGTGAGTGTGCTAGGATGGTTGCCCAAGCTTCTGGAAAAAAAGAATCCTTCTCACTGGATTCAATGACTAGCAACGAAAAGAAGGTCACCATGACATACCATGACCACACTGCTAGCCCCTGCTACCCATGTCGAAGCTATTTCACAAACTTTGTGGCGTTCTTCTTGGAAAAGCCTTGAGAGCTACCTGTATAATTATAGTTTCCGGACTGCCTCCTGAGAGGGCTTCATCCCCCAAACAGGGTCTCATACCCGAAATTGCCCGACTCCACAAGCCACAGGAAAACTCAGTAGCAGCTAAACTGCCTTGGACAATGGATAAATGGGACCTCTACGAGCCGTGTGGTACAGAAAGAGGTGCCTGACAAACCCTGTCCAAGGATTGTGTATGCACAACATGTTGACAAGGGAGCTCTGACGTAGTCCGCCCCCAAAATGGTATTGGAGAATGGTTGGAGGACGGACGATCGCACAAGCAAAGAACCACTTGGTTGGATTCTCTACATCTTCAAATCCAAGTGGCCAAGGTTGATCTTCCTGGGGTCCTCCTCTTCCGTGGCATCTTTCATCATCATCTGAGAGGCCACCGAGGCACGTGCAAGGTTGCACTGAGCATTGAGCTGTGGGGGCAAAAAAAGTGTTTGCCGGCTCGGTTGCTCGGGACTGCTTGACCGCACCATTATGTAATTATGTAATAGATTCAATGGAACTCTTGACACAACAACTCAACCCCTGGGCACTACTTGACCTCTTATTATGAATGAACCTAGTTGTATAATGGTCTTTGTGTGGTGATTTCGTTTGGCAAGTTTGGGGGCAAGCACCCACGGGAAAATATTGTCATGAACAACAAAATCCAGCATGCACAGCCACAGCACAAAAAAGTAAAAAACGACAGCAGCAGCAGCAGCGGCAGCGGCAGCGGCAGCGGCAACGGCAACGGCAACGGCAACGGCAACCGCAACAGCAAAACCACCATCAAAAAGCAGCGAAACAACCAGGGGTTGCTACCTTCAATTGATGGACATCTTGTGATCCTCTGCTTCAACCACCTCCGAGTGTCATACCTCACCACATGTGGATACATTCTTCAATGAGATCCTGTGGGCTTTCCTTAGCTAGGTGAAGGACGATGATCAATTTAAAGAATCTACGTATGTTTTTCTTGACTTCTTATGGCAGTCTAAGGCACGGTGATCCAATCTTGCTTCTCTTGTGCCCAGGCAGCAGCGGGGGCTAGGCAGGCGGAAGCCTTGGGGCATCGCCGTCACGTATTTCGAGGTCAACTGCATGCAGAACCCGCGGATGAATTTGAGGATGTCCTGAAGTTTCTCCCAAAGCAATTCACCCATCTGAGGAAGCCACAGCGGCCCACGCCGGCCATCTCGCAGGGCCAGGCACGAAAGACAGACTGCAGGAAAGCAACCTGCAGTCAAAACCGTCTGGCAGGACACATTATACAGGATTATTGCAGGTATCTTCAACTTCACATGACCTGGAGTGGTCTTGACCTGTAATGTAGGCTCTTGATTCATAAACCATCCCATGTGGATTGAACAACCTCTTCATGTGGGGGCTTTATATAATCAAGAGTCTACAAGGCACTTCTACTCCCTTTCGCCCCGCCAAACGCCCAGCTTGAGAGAACCAGGTCGGTGGGCCCACTCACCATTTCTCTCTTCAGGATGGACGGAGTTGGTTTTTTCGTTCTGCGGACGAACGTGTTCGGGCCCCCCCAAGTAGATGAACCTCTGAGACGTCTCAGAAACCAAGCCGCATCGCAAGCGAGCTCACCAGTGGAAACTTCACCGATACTACTACCGATACTACCTGGCTCCAGCACCCAAGATCGACCATCAAAGAAACATCCGACATCTATGGACGACGTGCGTGTGGCACGGCGGAGATTCCACAGGCGCGACGCCGAGTCAAGTGGTGCAAGGCGGAGAAATCAACCCATGGCACTTGGCTGCCAAACCGAATGATTGAATGAAAAGACTCTTTTCTTGATGTTCCCTGCATTCACCTGTCACCCTCGATCTGTGCCAGGATTACTCCATTTTCCTCGTCTGTATGTGCAACTGAAGACACAGCTCCAATGTTTTAGTCATGAGATCGAGGCCGAAGTGGTGAAACATGGTGAAACATGTTGAAACTGTCTTGAAATTTGTTGAAAGAATGAAGCAGCACAAGTGTGCCCCGCACTCCTCCAAACTAGCCTAAGAGGCTCAGCCGGATCGAAGCCGAAAAAGGTGACAGGCACCTGACTGTCGTGAAACTCTGAAAAAGACATGAAACAGCGCCATTATGCTCCACCCTCCAACAAACTGCGCAGCACTATGCAAACGCTCGGGCCCACTGTATGCATGGCTATACACAAACGTGGCAGCCATCACACTGAAGACAACAACTGCAACCATTTCCAGTTGGAGGTTCTTCAAAATCTCGTGGCAGGTGGAATTCCCTTCTTGGCAATACCTGCAGGCAAAAAAAATGCAAATATCAACGAACATGGGAGCGCAACAGAACCAAAGAACCATGCCCTCCCTTCCCTCAGCAATCGCCAGGTCTAGTGATGCGTTATCATATCCTGCGTGAGAGGCCGCTATATCAAGGAAAGCCCAAAGTATGGGACTTGCCACGGAAAGGCTCCACCCTCGCGTAAAGGTGCGGTCATGCAGTCCTGCAACTATCGTCACCAAGACCTCCGACCGAACGTAGTCTTCAAAGGCCTCTTCACTGCCAAACCAAATGGACACACATTCCTTCACAATTTCTCTGTCGCACATCATGTGAGCTCCTCTTTGCACATGGCCGCAGTCGCAACAAGAGCATCTGGTCTCGTCAAAGCTGATCTCGCTCAAGTCCTTTTTCAATTTCTCCACGGAGCGGAAGTATGCCCTAAAGGCAGCTGCTATGACATAGCCACTGATGAAAAGGAGGAGAAAGGTACCTGAAAGTGGGACAAGAATAAAATACCTTCCCCAGCTCGTGTGCTCTCGCATTGGCACCGTGGTAGCAGGCAGCATCACCAGGAACACACCGATGAAAAGGCCGATCGAGCATGGCCCAAGGAATGTGGGTAAGATGATGATGACCTGTTCACTGGTCGCTTTGCTCTTCAGAAAGGCAGCTAGCTCGAATACACACCACAAGCGATCGCTCCACGTTGGGTCCCACAGCACGAGCATTTGGTCTGACTTTTTCAAGATGCCTGCCAAACTAAAAATGCTGGCTGCCTTCAAGCCAACATTGTTCGCACTGATGCAAACCCGGTCAAGAAAGACCAGTTGCCGTGGCCGCCAAAGAAAAAATGTAATCACTGCTCCTGCAAAGCCACCTGCTAGTGACCAGGTTGACCACCGCGGATCATTGTCATCCAGGCGACTCAAGCCAGGCAAGAGGCCGCAGCTGAACAAAACGATCATGGTCAAGGCAGTGAAAGAACCTATGATGGCTGATGGTAGCCCATTATAGCGCAGCATGAGGGAGAAAATCTTCATCCAGCGCCGGCCATGCCAGGAATGAGACCAAAAGCAGGATATCTTTGCACTCGCAAAACTCTCTCCAAAAAAGTAATTATCATCAGTCCATGATCGCAGTGCTCTTCCACAGCGCCCGAGGGCTTTGTGGGCCCGAGTCACTCTCATCACTTCGGGCCTCAAGACCTCCATTCGCGCCACGTAGGTCGCCACCTAGCAGCTCCAAAACCGAACCCCAATTAACCGGAAGGTCCCAAATCACCTTCCTCCCCCCAAAAAAAGAGTTGTGATTTTTGTGTTTTTTCCGTGAGTGTTGGGACCCAGGACCTCCCGCTGTGCTTCTCGAACTTCTGCGCGCTCCTCTCCGCTCGACTCCTCCTCCTCCGTCCACTCCCTCCCCAGCACTTGAGGCATGGCATGCCACCCGCCGTGCCGAACGGGAAACGGTCGTGTTAGAAGCAAATGGCGTCGAGTCGAGTTGGATGATTTCTGTTACGTTGGATGCCTCTACATGGATGACTTCTGTAACCGTGATTGCTGTACACTGTACATGACATGTTCTTCACTGCATCACCCAAGTCGTGGCGGTTCTTCGCTTCTTGTTCCAGGCTGCTCAAGCATAATCAAACAAACCCAGCCCACGCCGTTGATCGGAGTTGGGAGACCCCCCCTTCTTCAAGAGCGATGGTCTGGGTATCTGCACCAGCCGACAATAGGAAGAACAGACCCACCAATGAGACGGATTCTTTTTTCGCATACAAGTACGTAGCCTACTCCGAACATGATGTCCAAAATCAGTTGCTACTATAATAGCTATAACTTACTATACTGTTGCTGTTCCAATTGCGCTGCTTTCTGACATGAACGCACCACATGGCCCACAGTGCAGCTGCCGGCGACATCTTTTTTCCGAGCGATGCCCAGCCACTGAGCGGCCCTCAAAACTTCGCACAAAAATCGATTGCGCCAGACCCCCAAAAATCTCCAATACGGCTCCGCGGCTCCGGGAATTCACATTTGGCGGAGTCCCGGAGGCTGCTGTGACCCATGCACATGACCCATGTTCCGGCCATCGCACCACAGCCAACCGCCACTGAGTTTCACTATAGTACTTTAAATGCTGATGTGTTGCCCCAAGAAAAGTCAAAGTAAAGAAGCCCTCCCAGCCCTCCCCTCACCCCTCCCCCCACTGCTGCCCAAAAGCAGCACGACGATCGCAGAGCCCAAGCACGAGCGCCGTGCCATGACGGTCTCCACCGCGCCGAGCGCTGCCACCCCGCCGAGCGCTACTAGCAAGCGCTTGGGCCGTGGACACCGGTCTGGGTGGAATGTCTCAAAGGGTCGATCATGCCACGATTTGTTCGTGGACTTGGTGGTTCACGAGTATGGGAGGTCAATCGCTCTTTTGGGGGGGCCATTCCATACGGTGGGGGGGCCTCTCAGCTCGGATCGGTGGGGATCGGGTTTCGGCCTTG